CACAAAAGATAATTTTGCAGTTCTGAGCTTCTTGCTATGGATCCGTGTTGTCGGTGCATCTTTCTTCTTCTTCTCTGGCAGCCAACGCTCATTCAGTGGAGCTATACCAATCTGAATATTGCCTTCTAGTTGATTAACAGATGAACTTTAGCTCCTCCTATTTCTTCTGTCCTTATTTCTCTGAGTGGATGCTGCTGACAACTGAATGTTCTTTGGCCTGGACATGCTATAGGCTTTAGTTTGTGCTCAACAACCATGATAATTGAGGGATTTAATAGCTGTGGAATGATCAGGTCAAGCATATTCCTGGATTTAAGTTGGTTATTGTGTTGTTGGTTGAATTACACTAGATGAAACACATTTCTCTTGTGCAGCGAATGGGACTTGTTTCAGGCTTAAGAATTTGACGTGGTTATTCTTGAATCTATATATGCTTCCTTGCAGAAAAGCCGTAAATATAGGTCTTATGCAGAAGAAGATAGTACACCATGAACTAATGTTACTTTGGTTGAATTCACCCTTGTTGTCCGCATGAGCACTTCCAACAACAATCTGTAGCTAAATAATTTGGTATCCTTTTCCTATTGTTTATCTTTGCTGTTATCACTTGATACTGGATTCCTGTGTTAACTAATAAGAGGAGATTATCACACAGTATTGTGCTTGTGCCAAAGGAAATACTGTCCTGTTATCCAGCCTATTGTGACGAAAGGAAATACTGTCTTGTTATGATTTCACTTGGCGGAAATTTGTGTCCTTGTGGTATTTTTTAAGCTAATTACTGTTCACTCTTCCAATCAGATAATACGCAGCAAGTTGATTGAGAGGTTCACCAACTCATCCTTTACGACAACTTCATTTCTCCCACTGAGGTATTTCCCATGGATTCGTCTTGAACTTGGAAAAGCACTTCTTTGGAGACTGAATTTCGCTCTCACTCTTTCATTATGTATTTTGCAGGAACTGGCAACCCCATCAAAAGCTACGGCCAAGCGATCACGCTTCAATTGGCCAAGTATTCTCAAGTTCGTGTAAATAAAGATCCTGTCATGAAAGGTATGTAACTTCTGGCATTCGGGTCAGAATTGAAGTTCTAAGCTTCTGAATTTCGTAGTCATTGCAAATGGGCTGGTTTGTACTTCGGAGGTGTTCCACCCGGTCCTTCGTCCTATATAGACTTGCATCATTTCATCCTGAAGATTACTATATCTAAACTTGGATGGACACAATAAAGCGCAAAGATATGGAGGTTCAACTTGCTGTTTCCTGTTCAATGGGATCGATGAATTGTCTGTAAGCCCATGTTTTAGGTGGTTTTCATGTTGAGGTCCTATTAGACCATCTCTAATCAATTACTAGTACTTATCCAAATCGATTATGCAGTGTGTTCTGCGTGGACATCCCGTCTGGTAGAATAGGCCTCGTGAATTCAAGTTCTTCCTCACTTGGTATGCAGCCTAAAAACAAGCAGTAGGACCTAACGAAATGGCTAGGAAAAATTTTAGGCATAATCGCCAACCGTCTGAACCGACGAGATTGACTTTGTTGCATCTGTAGGATAGGGAAGTGGGTAGCTGAGGAAAAGGAAAAACTTCTTTGAGTGGCTGCTAATTAAACCAATTATCTCTGTTCTTTCGACCCCAAGTGTAAATGAAAGAATAAGTTCTATCAAAAGCATATTTCATTAGCCCGAGATTACTAAGATAAAAGTACAAAATTCCCATAAAGAAATTAGGTGAGTGTTGATTAGTGGTGATAAGGGGATTAAAATAGACTTTGTAGCAGTCTTGCAATAAAAAATTGCAAGGAAGGATTGGCTTGTTGAATCGGGACACATGTTAAGATATAATGCAGCAAGACAATTGAAAAGGCTTCTCGTTTCGATCAGCAATCAATAGCCTGAGAGAGCATCGTTGACTGTCTTCTCATTTGGTTGCAACTTTAGTGATTAACTAATTTATCCTCCTGTAAGATAATCGTTGTAAAAAATGTTCGATATTCTCTTCAAGAGTTCTTAATTGCCCCGCAAGGCTAGATGAGTAAGAGTCTGTTTTGATAATTTGACTACACAAACCTTTCTAAGTTTCGTTTAGCAGCCCGTTGCGCATAGGAGCAGGTAGGAACTCAGTTCAAAATTCCACCTACAAATCTTCCCTTAGAATATTTTAATTAATAGTAGTTAAATGGATCCTCTGATCACCAAAGGGAGTTGCTTGAGTTCTAGGCGCCCACTAATACACTCTACAGAGAAGAAAAAAAATGGCAAGGAAAAGGCTAGGCCTGGGCCGCAGGGGCAGGGATGACCGTGTTTTGCCTCTTTTCACATTTTTTTTCCCAAAATCTGCAGTATATTTTTGCCTCTTTTCGCTTGAAAGCATGATTTGATGTAATCATATATAGTTTATCGAAAATGTTGCTGACTACTGAGTTTTGCAGCACATAATTGGTTTTCAACTTTATGGCTTTATGTAGGGAATATGTCTTTTACTTTTCACATGCAGAACAATTGTGTGCGGTATCCAATTGTAAAGAAACATAGTTTACATTTATTTGTAACTATGAAAATACGAATCCTTCTGCACTAATACATCCACACTAGCACTCTTACTTTGGTCATGCTCAATCAGATGCGCTTCCAGCATTGCTCTGATCATGAATTATGCGCTTCTTGGGTCTTCAACTAATGTAGGGCTCATACTTAAGACGGAAGTCAAAGATTACTTTTTTTTTTTTTTTTATAAGTGAAAGATCTTGAATTCAGAGGATTATCTACTTACAATTTTTTCTACCTTACCTTCCAACCCAACCTTCTTCTCAGTCAAAAATTACTTGAATACAGCATCTTCAAAGATACTCAATTTGACACTCAATAATTTATTCAATTTGACATGTTATACAGATGTTTGTCATTTTACCCGAAACACTCTCAAACTTATTTTGCAATTGTACAGTTGTACTAAGAAAGAGGAGTACAATTTTTTGATGCCAAATTTGGCATATATCAACTGGTACCAAGTGTTACTTTGGGGGTCCTAACAGCACAGCCTTTCATTTAAGAAACAGGTATCTCAAGAAAACTATTCGAGCAATAAGATCATTTTCGCAACGGCTTATGCAATAATGTGTAGTTAGGATGTATATCACTTTCCCAGAAGCATCTAAAACGAATATAAATAGGGTAATCCAGATGGAAAGCGATTGACCAACTACAAAAATCCGAAGCTCACAGCCTTAATTAGATTTCGCAATTAATCTTTTTTAAAGAGAATCAACAGTGGAGCCACTATCTTTAATGTCATAATTGAAGGAAAATATTATTTGTTTTATCACATAATTTAGTAAATGATTAAAATGATAATGGAAGTGTGATTAACAAAAATGAGAGTGCAAATAACATTTCCCTAAATTAAATACCAATAACGAGCCTTCTAGACGAGTAGAACAAAAGTACATTTAGCGGCATAGTAAAGGCACACATGGAAATCGCTTTTATGTAGAAGAAAGACAAAAAGACGTGCTTCAATATTAGAAGCTTTTGAGTTACATAAGATGCAACTGCATGACGTGCAAAGAGCTAAAAGCATAATTATTTGGTTGAAAATAAGCACTTGTGCTAAACTTGGTTAGCAAGGAGCATAAAGATATTCCTCGCCTAATGGTGGACCTTAAACAGGAAAAAAAAAAAAAAAACATACATACACACATACATACGAACAAACAAACCTAAGTGAATAGGGCTCGGATTTGCTGGAGGTTTCCATTTGCCATATAAACACATAATTCAAATTCAGGCATAAAGTATAATAAGCTAGAGCACCATCGATTTTCATTCCTAATACAGTTTCTTACGCTGCAGCAGTCACTTTTATGAGAAACAGCAGCCATGAATTCTGATGAACACAATCATTTCCTTGTCAATCAATTTCAGTTAGATGCATAACTTCAGGTAGTCCTTCTCATAGTACCAAAAGACGAGAAACATATTAAAAGTAGTCAGGGGTTGGTGCAATATCCGTCTCAACTTCTAATGGTTATCCGTAAGTTCGCCAGTTCATTCTTTTACAAGTTAAGAAGCATTTCAGCCAATCAAAATTTCCATTTCTTGTTTATCTTTGGAGAAGGAAGCAACAAACATAATCTAGTTAGGGTAACACATGGGAATTGGATGAAACCATCATGTTACCTAACACGTTTGAAGCCCCCCAAGGAACATCAACATGGTGCATTGGACGTTTGAGCTTTACTTTTTAGGACGAAAGGTTCTGTGCTAGCTAAGAAAGGTGTTTTAATGGCATCCAAAAGTGACTCGTTCATCTTGACAACAACCATAAGAACAGCTTCACATCCAATGCTGGATAAGAGCTTAACTGTCCAAATGTTACTTCCATTTTTGTGATAAATTAGGTAAATATGGTCATGGAAATCCTACTTTTGTATGAAAAACTAACCATATCCATATACTCCTCCTTTTTTGGTTGGGCAAGGGATGATTCTTAGAGAAATTATGGTTGAGTAAACATATCATCATTACAAAGGAGAGGTAACTAAGTATCACTACTACAATCTCTAACATCTTTTCCCAGGTCGAGGTCGGGCCTCCCGCTCTTACTAAGATAACGATAACGGGAGAAACGAAACACAGATAAAAATTGAAGAACCGAAAAACACTTATGTACAACGGTGTAAGGGTTAACGGAGACAGAGAAAGGAAGTCACAAGAACGTGGACCTCAGAGGGCCCACACTGCCACATGGTCCGTACGAAAAGGCAGACACACCAGCAGAAACACATTTCTACCCAAAAAAAAAAAAAAAGAATTTTTACGCTTTTTCCCAAATATCCCCGTTTAGTTTACATTGTATATTTTTTTTTTAAAAAAATATACACTATTCATAAACACATTTATATAGATAGGAACTCTAGAAAATAACAATTCAAACAGACCGACTCAAGATGGATTTTAATCCTATCAGCGTTCGCAATATTTGAATTTTAAATTCAGATTCGAATTAATTGTTAGGCGTCCAAACACAGTAATAATGCATACACTCCTACCTACCATACGGAGGATTAATTCGTAACTAAAACAACAGATGCTGCACTTCTATTTTTAAATTGTTGGGTGGGGGCCAGAAATTAAGAATAAGACTCCCCAGCTCGCCCTGCCAATATCTGCATATGCTGATGGGCAGCACAACCCACACACATGGACTCTGCACTGCACTGCACATTTAAAAGAAACCTTCCCAAACCACAACTCGACTCAATTCACAAATAGCAGACGCATGCTCTCTGTGCTGCTTTCCTTTCCCGTGATTCCCTCTCCACCACCACACAGCCCAAAAAAACAAAAAACTCTTATCCCTCTCTCTCTCTCTCCAGCGGCTCTTCAATTTTCCGATCAATCAATCAATCATAAAAGTGTTTCCGAAGCTGATATTTTGAAGAAACTCATATCTCTTCTTGCCAGGTTAAAAACTTAAAAAAAGGATCACTTCCTTTATAACTATTCTATTCATAATCTCACCTGTTAATGTCTTATTAATCACGATCATTATCTGGTTAGTTAATCGCTAATTCTTAGATTAATTTTACTTTTATTAATCACTAATTAATCTCCTGAATTTGGCTCTGTGAATTTACTCTCATTCTTTACCTCCAATTCTGACTCCATTCGATATGTGAATTTACTCTAATCCGATTCGTTGAATCTACAGCAGGTCCATGGAATATGTTGCGTGCGTTGTGTTTGCATAGGTGAATCAAAACTCAACCGATCATTCCTATTTCTATCGGCGTTGGAAATACACGTCTACCTACCTCGATGGCGTCAACGGCGGTGTCCAATCCGGCAGTAAATAACTCCGACAGATCACTTCTGAGGAGAAAAAAGAAGAAGAAAATTCCGAATCAGAACCAAAACCTCAGAAATCAAGCTCAAGCCGCTCAAACTGAATGGAAATCAGATACTCAACAGCAAGCTTACTCTTCCAAGCTTCTCCAAGCTCTCCGCCGAGTCCGAATCACCGGCGGCGCTGCTCCGAAGGGCGGCAGAGCAGTGCGGGAAGCTGCGGATAGAGTGCTGGCGGTGGCGGCGAAAGGTCGGACGCGATGGAGCAGAGCGATTCTGACCAACAGGATAAAGCTGAAATTTATGAAGAATAGCGCCAGTCACAAGAGGCAGAGAGTGACGGTGACCACCGGGAACAGCCGGAGGCAGAAGAAGCCGAGAGTGTCGATATTGAGGTTGAAGACGAAGAACTTACCGGCGTTTCAGAGGAAGGCGAGTGTTCTCGGCCGGTTAGTTCCCGGTTGCAGGAAGCAGCCTCTGCCGGTAATTTTGGAAGAGGCGACCGATTATATAGCAGCTCTGGAGATGCAAGTTCGGGCCATGACTGCCTTGACTCAATTGCTTTCTGGAGCCTCCTCCTCCTCCTCTTCTTCTTCTGCTTCTTCTTCCTCTTCCAGCTCTGTTAATGCTCTTAATCAGCTCGGCTCAAGCCGGCATCCTCCGGCTAGCTGATAGCATTATTAATTCTCGTTCTTTTTTATTTTAATTTTTCCTTTTCAGTTTCTCTTCTCCCTGTCTCCATCGCTTATGAATATTCGCCTGTCAAATACTAGTACTGCTCCAACAACTAATTGTCTAATATTCAGTACATTCTTCTCTTTTTTTTTCTTTTTCCGGTTAGTTCTCTCAATTGTAACGTTGCTATCGGTTCATCAGAAAAAATCAAACAAAAAGAAACGGAGAGATAATAACTGAAGAATGAGTGGGCGTTTGGGTGCAAAGGAATAATAGTCGTTATCGTTATCTTCTTTATTGGAGAGGGAGTAGTTGTATTTTATTTATTTATTTATTTAAAATATATTCCTATTTTTGCAGTCATCCCAAATATTACCAATTATGTTTTGATTTGGGAGTGCATTAATGAAGGGAATAATAATAAATAATGCCTTCGAACTCAAGCCATCTCCTCCTGAATCTGAAGTCGTAGTATGTAATTTGCGAAGGATGGATAGATTGGCCCAGAAAAAGAAAGAAAAGGAATCGGCACACAGGCTTTTCATTTGTGGAATCGAGATGTATGCCAGATGGTATATGGATTTAACCATTCAAACTGCAAATAAGGTGTGTCTAAACTGGTGGGATGAAACGTCTACTGCTATTTTATTTTTTTTTGTCAACCGTGACTTTATCTATAGAATTTTATACTATTCTGATATAAGAAGCTAACTCAACTGGATTTAGGAAGATCGGTAGGTAGGGACTGAACCATCATCGAATCAAACGAGTACACTACGCACCCGTGTGAATTTAAGAAGCCACTTAATCGAAACGTCTGCTACTATTTGCTTAAATGGTTTTTAACTCTATATAGTTGTCCAAACATTTGGACATGACTAAGGGAATAAAAAACGTGATCTAAACTTATATGCTTTTTAACACCTAGGCTAAAACTTATATGATCTAAACTTTTAGTGTTTTATTAGGTTTTGGGCATGCTGCAGATAGAGAAATTTTTGGTCGGCGAAGAGCCTTAAATCAAATCGTGAAGATGATTGAATGAAGTATGGAGGAGGCACAAGCCATATTGCAATTTGCAGGTAGGCAGCAAATTAATGACAAAGCACCGCTTGCAATGCATAGGAATAGTTGGAATTGTTTTATGGTACGGCCCACAAGACGCAGTGGCTGTTGCGGTTGCACGTGATGATAGTTTCTACTTCTCCAACAGAACGGAATGAGGTGAATCTGTCTTAAGGTTTGGCGTTAAGTTTCTGATGAAACACACGTCTTCGATCATCTGGCAGAGGCAGAATTAGCATACATCAGGGTGGGTTGGTTACGCCGCAGCAAGTGGTTGGACTTGTCGATATTATTACACTGCGCGTGGATGAACCACCATACATTATTTGTTTTTTCGATGCCAATAACTAAATGCACCTTCTTTCCTTTTCTTTTTCTTTTTTTCTTTCCTTTTTTGGTGCATAAAATAGTACTGTACTAGCTTTTAACAAGAAAAATGTGTTTTGTGCGCGTATTATTCTTGAAGAATCAACTACAGCGTAATAGTAGTATCATATGCATCCTATAAAACTAGATCGTTCTTCATCGATCCTCGTCCACAGCTAGCCCACTAAAAATTTCAAAAGAAGAAGAAAAGTGAGACATCCAGTCCTTTTATTTTGTCTTGTGAAACATGTTCACCCCCAAAAAAAAAATTTTTTTTGGTAGATGTATGCACAATCATTATCCTAATGTGGGGCCTGATAACCTACATCAGATCAGATCAGATGCATGTTTCTAATTGGATTTCAAAATCAAAGGCTCGTTTCAATTTCTCATTTTTTAAATAATAAAATTTTCATATTCATACAATATATCATAAAATAAAATGTACACCATGTTCTTCTTCCATCAATTACTACCATCTACCATCTACCATCTACCAAACTGGTTTGTTTGGATAGTGTATTATTTGAAATATTATTTGAAATAATTATTGTAGCACTTTTTATGATATGATGTATGTGATATAAAAAGGTGATTGGAAATATAAAAAGGTAGGTTGAGAAATGTGTTTGTGATGCAAGTGAAATATTATTTGGAATAATTTTGGTATCCAAACACTAGTAATGATCAAGATAATGAAGATGGCATTTTCAACCAAAAAAAAAAAAAGAAAAGAAAAAAAATGAACATGGCCGCCCTTTTTACTCCTTTTTATCTTTGCAAATGACAAGTCATGACGGCACTCATTCGTGTCATCACCGCATTGTAGCGCACAAGTTGCCCCGGTGAGACCGTCAGGGATTGGATTACGTTTTGGACACTTGCCATTGTTGTTTGACACCAGCACCATGGGAGATTAGAAACGTTGTGTGTCGTGACAAGAGTTTGTCAACCCACATTCTAATTGGCTTGGATACATGGCGTGCCTATGTAAGTGTAAGATTTCGGTTTTCAGTGGTCATCGTAGGTGCCAGCAACTTCTTGCTGTATACCTTTTTTTTTTTTTTGTTATGTTTGCAACTCTACTAAAAATATCAAGATCGATGTCTATATATAATATATATATATATGTATATATGCATCCTGTATGTTTTGCTGGAGATGTAGACGGTAATCATTCTCATATATTTGCCTGAATTTAGGTATCATGATGAGGAAACAAGGTTGTTTTAGGGGCCACGTCTTCATCATTTTTACAATCACAGACAGCCACCATTTCTGTACGTACTGTTCTCTCTTCCACAACAAGTACATCCTACTAGGCTTAACTCAACTGCGGAAGAAAGAACAACACATAAAGGCGGTTGTCCTAAGCCCTTTCTTCATCATATCTACTTATTTGGGAAATTTGCTTGAATACAAAAATAAAAAATATATATGTTGTTGGAGGGACACAAAATATCAACTATTACTCCCTCCGTCCCACTTTAATAGTTCTGGTTTTTTTTTTTCCGCACTGTTTAAGAAAAAGTAGTTAACTTTATTGGAATAATCAATTTAGGTAGCTATTTTCCTAAAATGCCCTCGCATTAATTAGAGTACAACTTTATGGGAACTTGAATTGATGGTAAAAAAAGAATTAACTCTCGTTAAATGAGGTAGGTTTATAGTAACAACAACTTACATTGAATAAGGGTATTTTAGGAAAATTAAAATACAACTACATTTTTCAATTGGAAAGTGGACTACAATTTGGTACAGACGAAAAAGGAAAACAAGACTATCAAAGTGGGACGGATGGAGTATTAAAATCCACCAAACTCATGGCTTGTTTTATGTCTTAATTATATATCCGAATGCTGATGACTCCTCCATATAAACATAATAGTAATGCATCTTGCAGATGATCCTGTGATGTGGTGGGGGGAGTGGGAGGGACAGGAAAATGGCATCCAAAATTGGCAAGCGACTTGCTTAACACAGAAGTTAGATGGAAGAGATAAAAATAAGCAGGCAAGTCATTAGTAAGCATCCACTTGACATCTTAACACAGCATTAGTTTAATCATCACATCATCAGGTCTCATTCTAATTGATCCCATCGCACACCTAAGTGGAAAGCACAATAGATGTCTATACAGGTTGATGAATCAAAAAGTAACATATAGTATAATATAAGCCCAGGCACATGGGGGCGGTCATGGACTCAACCTCACCTAAGAGGTTAGGAGGTCCCAGAAATTACTACTAATAAACAACGATTTGGAAAAAAGGTTGAGGGTTTCAATAAAGTACTGCTTAATCCGGGATGTGCAGAAAGAAACTACCACCCAAAATTGACCCAAAAAAAAGAAAGAAAGAAAAGGGAATTAATGGTGGGTTCCACTTAGCATCAAAATCATTAGTGGCAAGCATGTGGATCAATATACAGATGTGGCCTATGAAAAACTGGTGATCCACACTGCACGCCTGTTGCATCTACTACTCTATTTGATATCCGGCCGGCCGGCCATTAACTCCTAATAAGTACTGGTATTACCATGTCATGTGTGATTAGGCTCCATCATATATAAGTACTACAATGCGCTAGCTTTTATAGATAAGATACGTATGATCTGGGATTTCACGCAGATGATGAATGGTGCAGGTCACCACCAAAATGTTGGGAATTAATATGTTTTTGAAGCTTTAAACTTCATTAATTACAATCTACTAATTTGTATTCCTGCTAATTAAATTGGGAGTTGGTTAATCTACTCGTCACTTCACTTCATAGTTCATAGAATCATAGTAGTAGTATATATATATTATATACTGACCAAAAACATATATCTACATCGACATCTATAAAATTAACGGGGTCCATTGTTACAGGACTTCTCAAAAGAATATGATCACATTAGAAGAAGCTATGGATCAGGTGTAGTATTTCTACCCCATAGTCATAACACCATTCCAATTCACGCCCAATCTTTTCTCCAAAAACTTCATCGCCAGAGAGGAAGTTATATAATATGTCAGATGTGACAGTAAAAAATGACATGTACGGTGTGCTAGCATATAATCTGTAATGGAGAATCTGAGCTATAATAGAGAGATGCAGGCATGAACAAGTTTCAATCAAAGGGACGTGAGCGAGTCCCTACACGACCAACTTAACTGCAATTATGGATTATTGGAGATTATCATTAGACCGACGGCAACCAAAGCTGTTTGATTTGACAAATCCAAGCTGTTTCTTGTCCTTAAATGGCTCTCTTAGGGACTAGTTAAGTACTAGTAGGAAGTAGGCTCTTTTTTTTTTCCTTTTTTTTTTTTGAAGAATTGGCTCCGACATGACATGGAGCTTTGCGCCTCGCGCTGCAGCGCTCACATTAATCAAAGACGCTAATTGTATACTTAACACAATATGTATCTGATTCCGAGCCAATCATCATAGTGAAAAGTGAAAAGGTTCCTTCCATATTCTTTATTTATTTTCTTTTTTCAGTTTCTTTTTCTCTTCTCTCGCTACCTTCTTTTTTTTTTTTTTTGGCTTTTTGCAAGTCATCCTTGTAGCAACTATAGATAAATGGACTTTTGACTCTCTGGAATTTTATGGGCCAACAACACCAAAACCCAGCCCAGATAGCATATACTCAGACGGGAGCAGGCTGTTGTCTGTCCTCTTGATCAGACGCTATCTGTTTTGCTCAATTGCTTGAGCCAAGTGGACTTTTGTATCCCTGA